TGTCTTCAATGAAATCCCATCGGAGTCTATCGAAAGCCTTTTCAAGATCTACCTTAATTGCCATCCAACCTACTTTCCCTGTCTTGTGCTGCATTGAGTGAATAGCTTCTTGGGCTATTATAATATTGTCTATTATATTTCTTCCTTTAATGAAGCTGGCTTTTAGTGGTAATGCGAGAATGGGCATCAGATTCGTGAGGCGGTTTGCTGCCACTTTGGTGACTAGTTTATAGACTGTAGTGCACAAACTGATCGGTCTGAACTCTTTTAGTGTTTGTGGGTGATCCACTTTAGGGATAAAGGGCAATTAAAGTCTTGTTTAACCAGGTAGCAATATCTTTCCCTTCAAAAATACTTCTTACCTCACTGTGCAAAGAGTCACCGATAATTCCCCATTGAGATTGAAAAAACAGGGCATGGAACCCGTCAACTCCTGGTGCTTTCAAAGGGCTCATTTCAAATAGACCTTTTCTAACTTCTTCTCTGGTAACAGCACAAGCAATTGAGCTTAGCAACACATTAGAAGTTTGGGGGAACAGGTTTGTATACCTATAGCTCAGTTGTTGGGTGTGGTTGGTCTCTAGCGAGAAAAGACGTTGGAAGAAATGAGTCGCCATTGTATTGAGCTTTGTTTGGTCAGATTCCCATTGATCATTGTCATCTTTAGAAGTGAAATTGATTTCTTTGTTGTCTGATTAGAGCCTTGGTATGGTAGAATTTGGTGTTTCGGTCACCATCAGTGATCTATTGGCTCTGACTTTTTTGCAACCAGAGTATTTCTTCCCTCAAGCATAGATCTTCGTATTCGGTAAGGAGCGATTGTTCTAACTCATGATGGAATTGCGAGAAAAGGCACTGTTCTAGTATTCTCTGTACACCCATGATTTTGCTTCTTAGTTTCCTTTTGTTGCAACTGATATGACCAAAGGCAGTGGAGTTCCAGTTTTGTGCTGCCGTTGTGAAAACTTTGATGTTTTTAGTAAGACTCTTTTTTAGGTTCCAAGCACCTTTAACTAACTCACTAAACTCAAGATGAAGCAGCCAGGAAGCAACAAATCAGAAAGGTTTCGTGTCACTTGCATTTGGCTTCACGTGCATGATTAAAAGCGGCTGATGGTCGCTTTGTAGTCTTGGAAGATGCATGATCGTCATGTTGGGTTGTGCGGAGATCCACTACTTGTTGCTCGAGGCCCTGTCCAGCCGTACCATCAAACCTCCTCTTTGCCAGGTGAACCGTGGCCTAGAGAAGCCTAAATCAACTAGCCCAGCTTCTTGAACAAACTTTTGGAACTTCCAGCAACCTGCGTAATACCTGCAACTACCACCTTTTCTATCTCCCACTTCTAGTGTAGTGTTGAAATCTCCCGCAGCAAGCTATGGTTTGTTGTCACCTACTTGAAGGCTTAAAAGGTCTTGCCAAAGGTGTTCCCACTATGAAGCATTGGGGCTACCATAAATTGTTGTGAAAGCAATGGAAGTTGTCTCACTGGTCTTACTTATAGACGTATGAATGAGTTGTTTGTGGTTAGCAACAATCTGTATTGACAGATGATCACGCCAGAGTAGCCAAATTCCCCAGAGTATCCTACAGCTTCAACTCTGTGGGAATTTTGATATCCAATTTTTTGCATGACTCGGTCAGCCTTTGCGCCAGATATCCTCGGTTCCACCAAAACCACTACATCTAGTTTGTATCCTTACAGTAATGATTTCAGGACCCTATAAAACTTGCTAGATGCTGGCCCTTGGCAGTTCCAAACAAAATAGGAGCTATTCATTGGCAATAGGCAGGCTTAGTGCTCCATTTCAGAATTTTCTGGAGCAGAGATGTCGTCAAAATTATTTTCTATGGCTTCTTTGTAGCCAGTGTCTTCATCAGATGGAATGGATGAGCCCAGGGCTTCAACCAAGGCTCTAGTTAACTCCTTCGAAAGCGTCGCAATAGCATCCTTGTACTTGGGCCTCCAATCTTTTATTTTGATTGGTGACTGTATTCTAAATCCGCTACTCCCTGCAACGTTACCTAGAGTGTCATTTTCAACCATAAGCCCATAACATGACTTTGCTGAATAATACCTTTCATAACTTTCTAAAATCAAAAGTCATCTGATGTCTAAGATTGCCGTGGATCCACAACTCATATCAAAAGAACCACATGCAAGTATCTAGAGGCCTCCGGCCTTCTACCAACATGCAATCCAACAACAGTTATAAAAAATACACTGTCAAAGTAATCAATCTCAAACATATCAAAGTATGTGGAATGGATCCTATCATGGCAATATACATCTATCCAACACAATCAAAAGAGTAGAAGCACTACAATTTTGCAGTAGTAGGTCAAGCTTCTGGAGCCTTCCCTAACTGACCTGAATAGGACCTATCACCTGGCAAAGTGTTAAATCAACGGGGTGAGACAAAAACCTTAGTAACCAACGATCCTACTTATCAAACATACAAGTAAGTGATCATGACGTGTCAAGTGAGACAATTACAAATTCATAGTATTCTAACAAATTTTATATTGTCAAAGCATATGCAAAGTACAATCAATAATCCTCTTACCTCCCTTATATCTACCAACCTTATATCCTTTAACTGAACCCATGGGCTAAAACCCCATCCATGTGACGGGTAATTAAACAAGCTTACCAATCAAGTGATATGGACTGGCCAAAATCCATATAGCATCAGACCGAACTATGTGTTTCCCCTCTAGTCTACTAGTGGGGTGTCAATGCCCTATAATGAGTAATTGGACCAAAGGACCAATTAGTGTACACCTGATGTCCCTACCACCTTATATCCTCAAATGTACATAGTTCACCCCCTTATATTCTCTTTGATATAGTTCCCATCATCAACATCTGCCACCCCTCACATATCAATACTCAAAAATATTATATTTAATAATAAATCATCAACATGTCAAAAATCAATTTGAATTTTCAATTCTCAATTACATAACACATGATATCATCATAATCTTAAACACATATATTTTGTAAAGAAAGTCTCACAAGACAATTTCAATAACAACATAATTTTATAGCTCATATCATAATTCAATAATATTTCATAAACCCGTATAATTAAAAATCAATCACAAACAACCTACGAACATGAATAATAAGTGAAAAATAGTTACCTCTTGTCTAGGACAAGGATTACCACAAAGTTAACCCTGTGCTCAAACCAACAATCCAATAATTTAATCAAAATGATTTGCAAAAGTGAAAACCCTACTGGAAAATGAGAGAATGGTGCTAGAGAACAAGGAAAAAAAAAGGGAAATGACATTAAGGTCCCACAGAACCAAATATACAGCAAAAAGGTCCCCTGAAATCTCATAATATCTTTGAAGTCCCAAAGGGACTTGTGTGCAATTTTTAGAATCTGCAAATGACGCTCTTGCCCTTGGTTGCTTATGAGATTCGAAAATGATTGAAACCCTTTGTTTTTATTTTTGACTGAAGAAACTTGAAAGTGTCCTGCTGCCTTCATCCTCTCAGTGATTTGTCCTGCTAAAAATCCAGTCACAAGCCACCGTGCTGCTCAAAATCCACTCACAACCGACCGAAAATTGTGACCGAAGTCCTTGAAAGCTCGTCGTGGTGGCTTTGTTCATGGGTGTTTGAAGCGAAGTGGAGCTCATCCTAGTGTCTCCGTTCATCGGCGTTTGAAGCGAAGTGGGGGTCGTCCTTGTGCTCCGTTCATTGGCATTTGAAGCGAAGTGGAGCTTGTCCTAGTGGCTCCGTTCATCGACCTTTGAAGCGAAGTGGAGCTCGTCCTGGTGTCTCCGTTCATCGACGTTTGAAGCGAAGTGGAGGTCGTCCTTGTGCTCCGTTCATCTGTGTTTAAAGTGATGTGGAGCTCGTCCTGGTGGCTCTGTTCATCGGTGTTTGAAGCAAAAGGGGCTCATCGTGGTAGCTTCGTTCATCGATGTTTAAAGCAAGAAGGGGGCTCATTGTGGTATTCGGTCACTCCATTCTCAGTCACGATGAGTAGTCTGTAATGATTGAAAAAGCTTTGTCTGGTTGAACAAGGGTCTATTGGTAGTGCTTCGCCACTACCGCTGCTAGTGGAAATAGCTTAATGATTGAAAAAGGTTTCTCTAGTTAAATAAGGGTCTATTTGTTTCTCTGTAACCTATAATGATTGAAAAAACTTTCTGTCAATAGAACATCTAAATTCCCAAACTTGTTGAGTCTTTGAACTGTATTCAATATAAGCTACTGTGCCTATTTGTTTCCTCATTTCTTCCCCTTGTTGGCAATAAATGATTACCAATAAAGTAAGCTCCTTTCATTGCAAAGGTGACTCATGATCATTCATTAGGCAAAACTAATATAAAGAATATAAACCCCGTTAGATGTTATAATGTTAGATCCCATGTGATAAGCCAAAAATGCTTTGTCTTCATGAAGATGTAAAATGCATACCAAGTTGTTGATGTCAGTTAACGATTCACTAAGTGCAGATAGAGTTATGAGCATATGAAATTTCCAAACTTTCTATTTCTTGCTTACCTAACTTTGTGCCAACATGAACAATTGGAAAGAAATCTCCTTTTCTGCAGTTATGATTTTCATGAGTAGTAGTAAGTGATTGAAGTGATGATTAACATGCAATCATATGAGTTGCTGACCTGAGTTGCTGTTGATGATGATGAAGATTATGAATGCTATGGTCCATGGGACCAAAAAAGTCTTTACATCCTGAAAAATTTTTCGTTATGTGTGGGACATATAAATAATGTGGATATGTGAATAATCAACCACTTATATGATGATTATATTGAGTTAAAGCTAGAGGTGGAGCTTTATTTGGAATTCTTCTTTCTTATTGGTTTAGGTATAAAGACACAAGATTTTCACTGTCATTCTTGTTTTAGCCAAAGCAGCAAGTTCAAGTCCCTTGTTTGGAGTCTTCAACTGTCGCTTTCTTGTTTTATAATCCAAGACTTGGTAAATTCTTATACCCTGATTGATACTAAGAAGATGGGGAAGGATGTAGAAAGAAGCTGTAATTTTTCTGGTTATGCCTTGTTTACAGAGGATTTCTATAAGAAAAGCTCAAGAAAGTACAAGTCACTTGAAGCAGGGAATCCACATGTGAAAAATGCATGGGATAAATTATCTGAACAGCAAAGGGAGGAATATTGTCAAAGGGCTAAGGAACAAAGACCTCCCACACGGTCCAAGAAGTATATTGTTCCTTTCTATACAAGATGTGCACCAAAACAATTCATACAAGTTTGCAAGCACATAAAAGAAAGGAAGGATATGATGAATAGGCTTAAAAAAATAGGTTTTGACAAGTTGGTTGAAGTCTGTTGCCACACAATTCTCTTTGGATTGTGTGGAGAGTTTATGTCTGCATTTGACCTTTCAACAAAAAACATTTCCACAAGAAGGAAGAGAAGGAAAATGAGGGCAAAAAATATGCATGACTTTTTAGGGCTACTATTTGACGGAGAATAGATTAAAATAGCTGTGAATAATGAAGATAAAGTGTTCAAGTAGTAGAGGATTGTGTATGGCAATATTCCATACAAGAAGATAGCGTCATTGTTGACTAAAACGAAACAAGATGAAAATTTTGAGATGCTGTTTGTCATGTGTGCATTGGGAACGTTGTTATGTCCTAATACAAGTATTTGTGTCACTGATTATTTGTTAAAGGTAATACTATCAACAAAGGATAGATTGGGTAAGTTTGATTGGTCATCTTATGTGTTGAATGAACTATACAAGGGGATTGGAGTGTACAAGAAACAATTAGAAAAAGGCAAGTTGATTGAAAAGAAGAAGAATGTGCCAGGTTGTCTATACTTCCTAATGGTAAGTGCTATTATAATTTCTATATTTCTATTGTCATTTTATGGTCTGAATGTTGTCAATGGTTGCTGTTAACTTATCATTCATTGTCACATACAGATATATTGTCTACAAAAATTTCCATTAGGGGAAAGAAAAGCTTCACATGTTAAGCATGCTGTTACATATTGGGATAAAAAGAAAGTGCAGCAAAGAGTTAAAGAGGAGAAGGAGAGCAATCGAGGAATATTACATCTGGCTAAGCAATCCACCAAATTTGATCCTGAAAATTTAACTCACCCCCGGTATGTGGACTTATAGGCTTAATGATTTTTTTTTTGTTTTTTTAACTGTTACTTACATATTGAAGTTTTGAATTTTATTTGAATAGGAGATGAAAAAAACATATGCTCGATTAGTGTCAATGCTGGGAGAGGAAATGATGGCCCTTTAGTTAAGACTAACAAAGGACAGTGACAATGTAAGCAGAGAAGATAAAGATGAGGAAGAAGAATCTAAATCAGAAGAGGAGAAAGTTGTAAAGGGAAGTGATTCAGAGGATGAGGAAGAAGATGATAGAAATGAAGAAGATTCTGAGTCAGAAGATGATAGAAATGAAGAAGAAGAACAAGAAACTCACTCAGAAAAGAAGATAGGTGGACAAGAATTAGATGACGAAGACAAAGAAGTTGTCTATGAGGACAAAGAAGATGAAGAAGAAAATAAAAGAGAAGAAAAGGATGAAGAGGACAAAGAAGTGCATGAGAACAACCAAGGGGAAGGGAACAAACATGTGAGGAAATCAACAAGGGTCATAAGTAAGGGTAAAGCTCTTAGGTCTCCATTTCTGAAAATTAAAAGTAAGGCTGGGAAAAAGAGAACAATTCATGACAAGCTAGCTTTATTTGACATGTGTACAACAAGGTGTAATGAAGAGGAGTAAGAGCAGTAAGTATTATGTTTTCATGACCAAATTTGTATTATGTTACATAATTTACTAAGTTAATAATTGTTTCATTTGCATTAGATACTTTGTATCGATGTATGGATACTTCCTAACCCTTGGTGAGCTGTAATGTCTCCAATGTAAAAGATAGATAAACGACAGGGTAAGTTACATGTATATAGTTAACATTAGAATGAGTTATTTGATGGTAAAGAGTTGTAATTTTTTTGTATTGTAATTTCAGTTTATGACTATGGTGGCAAAGACATTTGTTGGAGATCAAAAGAATAAAGAGGGGTGAGTAAACCGGCATATATTTTCTGTAGATTTCATACAAAAGATGGTAGCCAATCCTTTAAGACAAAAATGGGAGGACCATGAAAGGGAAATGTTACCTAAAATATATTGGGTACAATATAGGGGATTGCAATTTCCTTTTCGGTCCTACGTTATTTGAAGATCGCTGGTTTTGTTATGTTTTGGAGACAAAGACCATGACCTTCTACGCCCTTGACTCCTTGGTTGATAGCATCACATTCATGAGATTACAAGCAGAGGAAGAAGAAACAAAGAAAAGGTGGGGGTGAGTAACAACATGATGCGAAGAAGAAAAAGAGGACAAATAAAGGGCATCTCAATCCCAAACAATTTATGGCAACACAGACTGTGTGTAGTTATTTGTTGCTGTTATACTTGTCAATAACTACTCTTATAGTTGTCACTAGTAGCTTGCATAGTTGTCATTGCATGCTCTGTTAGTTGGCACTGGATGCTGTGTTAGTTGGCAGTAGATGCTGTGTTGGTTGTCTTCACATGCTGTGTTAGTTATCAGTGGATATTGTGTTAGTTGTCATCACATGCTGTGTTAGTTGTCAATGGATGCTGTGTTAGTTGTCAGTGGATGCTGTTAGTTGACTAGATGCTGTGTTAGTTGTCATTGCATGCTCTGTTAGTTGTCACTGCATGCTCTGTTAGTTGTCACTAGATGCTGTGTTACTTGTCACTGGATGCTCTGGCCCTTGTCATTGGATGCTGTGTTACTTGTCACTGGATGCTCTGGCCCTTGTCATTGGATGTTGTGTTACTTGCCACTGGATGCTCTGTTCTTTCTCACTGGATGCTCTGTTAGTTGTTAGTGGATGCTGTTTTTTGTCACTGGATACTTTGTCCCTTGTCACTGGATGCTGTGTTACTTGTCACTAGATGCTCTGTCCCTTGTCATTGGATGCTGTGTTGTTAGTGAAGCCTTTTGATTATGTTTTTTTTTTTTGCAGATGAACTGTTTCTATACGATGTTGTGTGCTGTTAAGCCAGAATTGTTTACCAATGAGGACAAAATTGAGAACAAAGTGAAATGGGCTAAAGTTTATGTGCAAAATGATACGTGAGTGTAGTTGTTCTGTTCGATTGTGTTATGTTGTTTTTGTTCACAATAATAATTGTATGGTGTTAACATATTCAATTTCCTTAGTAGTGATTTATATGGAGTTCATGTTCTCTCTTGGCTATAAGAATGGGATGGCACTGTTTGTGATGATGCAGGATATACAATGCCACGATACTCCAATGATAAACTACAAGAGTTGAAGGTTGGCTATTTGTGGTGGTTATTTACCCATCCACATAATAAACATAGGGGTGAAGTGATGTCGATGTTATCGGACTACAACAAGAGCAATAAGAGGAGATAGAGTAGTTTACTAATTTTTTGTTTTGTTAGCCCATGATATGTGTTGTAAGATGATTAGCGAACAGGTCATTTTGTAACGAACTGATCAAATTATGTTTATAATATTATTACCTTTATCATCACATGTTGTAATACTAATTTCTTAGGGTTTTATTACACTTTTAATCATATTTCTGTTTTATATGTGTAGAGATATTAAGGGACAGTGTTTTATAAAATATTCTGATTTAATGACAAGTGATATAAGAATTTCATAACAAATGAATGCGTGGAGATTAACAATTGATATTCAAAATTTTTACAACTAAAGGTGTTCATATAAACAATGTCACAGTGCTCCATTGACGAGTCATAGTGCGACCATTGATAAGGAACAGTGTTCTCACTAAGACGTCACAGTGCTCCATTGACAAGTCATAGTGCGATCATTAACAAGGGACAGTGTTCTCACTAACAAGTCACAATGCTCCATTGACAAGTCATAGTGCGATCATTAACAGGGACAATATTCTCACTAACAAGACACAGAGCTCTATTGACAAGTCAATGTGCTACCATTGACAAGTCACAGTACCACATTGACAGGGGACATGAAGAGGTAAGTTTTTGACATTCATTAATAATAATTATATATGACAATATAACAAAAATATAATATGACAGAGTGATTGAAAATATCATTTGATGGTAAAAAAGGTTATGTTACTTGAATTCATATTGTTGACAACTTACATAAGCAAATTCATTGACAAGTCATAGTGCAATGATTGACAAGTCATAACAGGTCTAATGACAATTGAAATGACAGCAGAATCTAACATGCCAATTCATAGCCAACTTTCATTTACACTTCATATACGTGAAACTACACCTATTTCACAACCCATCCCAAAAAAAACATAGGGGTTGCATGTAATTACGAAACAAACCAGTGGTGTGTATCCATTTACAAAAAATTTTCTTCACACCCATTTACAAAATATTTCCTTCACATCCATATACAAAAAATAGTTGATTTCAATATGTTCTTAGCTGGGATTTGGGTTCTTGCATGTCTTAGCAGCGTGTCCAAGCTTCTTGCATCTTCCACAATGATAAACTTTCTTATTTTGGAATTGAGATTCTATCCTATTAATCATTGGCCTTCCTGGAGGTCTTTTTGTTATCGGCGGATGCAAGAATGTTTAGGTCAGTATATGAGTCACAATAGGTGTATCAGACTGTGGGTAATCATGCGTTACAATTGGCCTCATGCTATTTGTATATATTTTCTCCTGTATAGAAAATCCGTAACAATTATCTACATAATCATACACGTTACGGTGAACTAGTTTGATTGCCACACATGCATGTGGACAAGGTATTCCACTCATTTGCCATGCCAAACATGTGCATCTGTGAGAAATAAGATCAACAGTCATATAGATGATGCATCCCTCACGCATTGTTTGCACCGAAATATGGTCATCACCATAATATGTTACCTCCATATATGCACTTCTTGCTATTTGTTTTGACAACTTTGATTCAATATTAGGTCCTATACCATTTTTTCAGCTTCTCATCCCCATTTTGCTAGCAACCATCTTCTTGGCCAACTTCTCTTGATGCTCTTGTATCAAAACCGGCAAGGCATGCTTCCTTTTTTTCAACATCTATGCATTAAAAGACTCAACAAGATTATTAGTGATGTTATCCCATCTCTTAAAAGGAAATTTACTTTGCGTCCATCTATCCACATCCCCATGAGATTCAACCTATTGTGCCAATTGTGAACAAAACAATTTTAAATTTCCCATCACAATATTAAACTCATTGTTATGCTTTGTATATGTGATTCCATCAAGTAAATTAAGTGCATTTTCATGTTATTTTCTGAGGTTCATCTCACACCTCTATTGATTTTCACATAATGCGTACTATAATTTTTTTTCACATGTTGATAGCAAAAAGCATGTCTCTCACCATCAAATACTGTCCTAATAGCACCGATGATAGCATTACTCTGATCTGAGACAATTGTCACTTGTGCTGATCTGGTTATCTCCTTTAGATTCCGTAAAAACCAAGCCCATTCATCATTTGTTTCTTCGCTAACAATACCATATGCTAAGCGAAACAACTCATTATTCGCATCAAATGCACAAGCTGATAATAAAGTTCCTTTGTAAGAACCACTCAAATGACACCCATCTATATAAATAATTGGTCTGTAACCTTGCACAAAGCCTTTAATTGAGCATCCATATGCAATGAATAGTCTCTTAAATCGGTTGCTATCTGAGCCTTCCCATATTGCAACTATATTAGGATCATTTTCCGTTAATCTCTCACACATCCAAGGGATTACCTTATAAGAATATTCTACTCGACCATGTAATTCCGTTAGTACTCTCTTCTTGACCTTATATGCTTGAGTATAGTTCAATTGCACTCCATATTCTTTATACAAGTCCTTTCTAATTTCATTAGGACTCTTGTCAACATTGCACCTTAGGTGATTGGAGAGCCATCATCTAATTTCTAATCACAATTGAAGCAGCTAAATTTGACCTTTCTGAGTGAGAAACAATTAAGTTGTCCTGTGCATGATGAATGTATTCACTTTTGTATGTTCTAATAGTTAAAAACTCAGTATCTTGATGTGCTCCCATTCAATATGCACCCATATACCATGGACAACCATCAACCTTACACTTCACAATGATCTTTTGCTGATTATTCTTAATAAAAAGGTATGAAAACTTCTGGGATAAGCTGTACTTGTATAATGTTTCTCGGAGAGCAGTGGCATTTGGAAATATTTGTCCTTCTCCAATAATCAAATCCTTCCATTTTGTGAAATTCATTTGTGGTGTAGGTGTTGGGATCATTTCAACAGCACAAGGAATTAATGATGGCTATCCAATCACATCAGATAACGTAAGTAGAGACATAGACAATTCATTGACACCTCCAAATGATTGATCAATCTTGTAGGAAATGACAAGTCAGGATGCATGCATTAACAAGTTGGTAACAAGACAGTAATAATTGACATACCAAGAAATGACAATAACAGATTTGTTAAACTAAACTTACACGTCTTGCTCCTCTATTGTATTATCCCTTGTTGCTTCTATGTGGTCCTTATTTCCATTCTCTTCTACATACACATGACCATTTTCTTCATTAAACTTTATCAAATGTTCTACCCCATCATCATCTACCAACTCCACAAAAGTTTTTTTTATCAAACACAACTGAGAATTTCAAAAGAAATGAGTTGCTTTCTTTTCCAGCAATTAATGATATAATCTCCTTTAATTCTTCATAACTTGTACCCTCCTTTACATTTGTTGTTCTTACATTACCTCCCACATATCTCATATCATCTTCTCCATCATTTATAAACTTTCCACCCATGTGAACAAAGCAAAATAGATGCTTTCCAGATGTAACCACCATTAGTAATTTAAACCTGCATCAAGAATCATGCAACCATCATTGACAAGTCATGGAGCTATATTGACAACTGTTGCGGCACACATTGACAACTATCGAGGCCTGATTGACATCACAATATCCCATTTCGTGCCCAATGTTTCCACCCACACTAACCTTCATCTTTTGCTTCCTTTGCCACTGAACTAACATCAGAACAGAGCAAAACCACCCACAAACAACCCAAAAACAGAGCACCCATGATCATCCTACACACCCAACTTAAATCACCAACACATACCAACAAAAACACAGCTTTTCTATTGATTAACTTGTGAATCCCATTCCTAAAACCACCCACAAGCAACCCAAAAAGACAAAAATGATTTTCTGATTTCCCATTCCCAAACAAATTCACAATCTGTCAAGAAAGGTAGGAGAGGAGAGGAAAGAAAGTTTCACACCTAAAGATTCGTGGAGATTCACATGGAAGCTCTTTGGAGTTCACTAATGGTAATAAAGAAGATACTTCATCATCAATGGCTCCTTCCCTCTTTCCTAATGTCTTCTCTCTGCATATTGCGCGAGAACTCCTCACCCACCGTCTTTGTTTCTGATAGCAAGGGCATAAGAGTAATTTGAAGATTTTGAAAATTGCACACAGGTCCCTTTGGGACTTCAAAAAAATTATAAGATTTCAAGGGACTTTTTTGCTGTATATATTCTTGTGTGGGACCTTAATGTCATTTTCCCAAAAAAGAAAGACAATGCTCTCGACCCCATTCCCAACAATTAAAGTAACATTTTGGGGTAAATTTCAGTTAAAGAGCCCATGTTAAATGGGGATAAAATTACAATTTGGTACCCCTTTTTTTCATTTTCTATGCATTTCAAGGAGAAAAAAACCGGACCGGATCGGCCGGTTCAACCGGAAAACCGGTGAACCGGTCTGAGATCTAGTCTGGTTTGCTTGAAAACCGGTGTTCAGTCAAACCAGAGCAACTAGGAATGAACCGAAAAAAACCAGTAAAAACCGAGCAAACCGCTAGCTTGACTGGGTTGGCCAGTTGCTTTTTCCCCCTTCTTTCTTGCTTTCATTGTTTGCCGGACATCTCACTGCTTATGGAGGCCATAGACACTACAGAGATAAGTGGTAGAAGAAGAGGAGATCATTAAAGTGAAGGAAGACAGAACTTTGTTTGTGCCACTTTGAAGCATACTCATGAAAGATTGGAAGACAAGCAGAAAGCTAATAGAGAGAGTAGAATGAATGAATAAAATGTAGAGAGAAAAAAGGGTGCCATTATTCACTGTTTCTCCGTCTGAGAAAGAAAAGGAAGTGAGGAAGGTAGGAAGCACTTTAGAGGATGAAGGGAGAGATGAGTCAAATGACCATGCGTACTCAGGAAGTAAGATGAGCTCCCCCTGCCTATTCTACTCTGCTACTCTACTTGTTCGTTGTCCAAGGAGGAGAGAGGAAAGAAGAATTGCTCCATGAGGGGTGACATAGGGAGGAAAATGTGGACTGCACGTGGGAGAGAGAAGAAATGGTGAAAACAATATAAAAAAAAACAAAAGATTCTGTTGGCTCAGATGAGAGAAAAGAAAAGAAAAAAAAACTGAAAAGAGAAGTGAAAAATTTCATATATAGGAATATTTTGCAACATGATTATCCATTAAAAAAATTAAATATTATTTTTTATAATTAGAATATAAACATTTTTACTAATTTTAATTAAATTATATTATTTTAATTATTACCCGTTTGATCCGGTCTGACCCCGATCTGACCCACTAACCCTTAAACCAGTGTCTTGACCGGTTCATTATCCGGTCCGGTTTTTTGTTCTTTGATGCATTTTCTTCTTGTTTTTTTTATCCTTATTATTATTATTATTCAGTAATTTTCTTATATGTATTTATATTTTATAAATCTTATTTTCAATAATTCTCTTTTCTTAAATAAATAGAGAATAAAACTCATTTATTAAGCATTAAACTCCTTCTAAACTTAATTAAACACTAAGAATAAAAATTGAAATGTTACAATTTTCAGATGAATTACTTTCATTTTTAATTAATTTATACGTATTAGGAACAAAATGTGTTATTAATCCCGAGTTTAGACACGTCATTTTATAATTAAAATTTTTTTATTCTTAGATTGACTGTTGTCACGAGATAAAGTCAAAATAAAGAAGTTAACTTACTACTACCACCATCACTACCACCACCACCACCACCACTACTACTACTACCACTACTACTATTACCACTACCACTATCACCACTATGACTACTACTACCACTACTACTACGACCATTACCACGACTACCACCACTACCACTACCACTATTACTACAACTACGATTGCGACTACTACTACTACGACTACTACCACCACGACCACGACCACGACCACCACTACTGCTACTATTGCTGCTACTACTGCTACTGCTCCTGCTGCTACTGCTACCACTACCACTACCACTACCACCACCACCACCACCACTACTACTACCACTACCACTACCACTACCACTACCACCAACCACTAGCTACTGCTGCTGCTGCTACTGCCACTACTATTACCACTACCATTACTACTGCTGCTACTACTACTGCCACTACTACGGCGACGACGACGACGACCACCACCACCACTACTAGTAGCAACTGCTGCTGCTGCTGTTGCTGCTGCTGCTACTACTGCTACTACTGTTACTACTGCTGCTGCTGCTGCTACTACTACTACATTATAATGTTAATAAAATTTGTTAGCGTAGTAGTCACTTTACTACTGCTGCTGCTGCTATAACATTATAATGTTAACAAAGTTTGTTAGCTCAGTAGTCACTTTTTAGTTGGAGAACCATTTGGTTGCTGTGTGCCAGAGAGGGATTCCAAACTTTTTTTAAAAAAAGAAAATAAAAAGAAATTTTTATTATTTTTCTTAAATTTCAAATTTTTAATTTGTGTTTACTTTTTTTTGTTGTTATTTTGAAGCGTTAGATGCGTAAACTAGAATACTATAATTTCGAGCTTCTTTATCTGTCATTCCTCCTTCAATAAAACCAAATAATCTCTAAATAAAACTATGGGTTTGAATGCCGTCTAGCCTAAGTTATTTCATATATATAAATAGATAGGTAGGAAGAAAATATACTGAAAGTGTAGTTTCATCTTCAATTCAATTCTTTTGTTTTTGTTTTTTTTTAATAAACATATCATCTTCAATTCCAAAAGGACAGATAAACTGAAATTGTGGAGTTCTAGTTGGCGCTGTCCCTACTCTCTCTTTTTCTTAAAATTATCTTTCACCCATGAAGACGGCTGGAGCCATATATCCGTCATACCTACTACGGAGTTACTAAAAAAAAAGACTTAAGAAATTAGTTATTTACTAAAAAAAGGTCTCATGGCTATATGCATTCTATTGGAAGAATAAAATTCATTACAACGGAAACAAAAATCAATTTTTTTCTGTCTATAAATATAATCATATTCAAAGTATTATTGGATATTAAATATGAACTGTTCTTTTAAATAGAGATTTAAATTTTAGTTTATAAAAATTAATTTTTTTTACTAGACTCAACTCCTAATAAAAAAAGTTATATATATCCAAAATATCTTGCCACGTGATTTTTGGTTCAAAAGTTCATAAAAAAGGACAATGGAGAAATGGCCACTCAATAAAAGGATAAGTGGGCACCACAAAGCAATCGTTTAACCAATGAAATTGATGTGCACTTGAACTTGCCCCCACATCGGCCATCTTGGGGTCTCTTCCATAATCATTGTTTTTCTTAAGTAATTTAACTTATTTATCCCTCTTGTTAATTAATCTCTAATCCTTCCTCCTTTGTATATAAAAACAAAAAACTTACATATGGCGTATTTTTGCTGAATTAAACTGACACATATGTTTTCTATTTATATTTTATTTGATAATTAACTTTTGTTGTTATTACTTTTTAATTAGTTTTAAATGCAAAATTTATTCATTTCAACTTAAATAAAAAATATATTATGTACACCAAAAAAAAAAAATACAAGTTCACGGACACGTTTTTCTTCCCCACTTTTTGTAGGGTCTCCCTCCACTCAAATTCTGGCCAATAAAAAGCACAAGGTCTTCTCCCTATAATTTGAATCATTCTCTTTCTTCTCGAAAACTTAAAAATTAATAATCAATAGTATATAAGCCTAAAATGGAAAAATAAAATTGAACAAATTCCAAGCCTTTTTGGGGTAGCAAAACACAAGTCTCTGCAACCTCAACATCTGAGGCAGAAGAAAATGGGGAAGATTGGACCATTTGTGGGAATGGTGGTGGCTATTCTGATACAAACAATAAGCCAAGTGGTAACCAAAATTGCCCTCAATGGTGGCATTAACACATATGTCTTGGCTTTCTACTCCTACGCTCTCTCATCTTTTCTCCTTCTTCCCTTCATCGCCTTCCTTTTCCACAGGTTCCAACCTCCCACTCTCTGCCATTTTTAGGGTTTTAAGTTTTAACAGTACGGTTACCTGTCTTCTTCTTTCTTTCTCAGGTCTCAAGCACCTCCTCTTAACTTCTCCTCCATTTGCAGATTCTTCTTGCTTGCCATCTTTGGGTTTGTACTCTTTTGCTTCCTTCTTCACTTCCATATTTGTATAACTCTGCAATTTTTTCCACTTCTGACAAGTTCTATAGATATAAATGAATGTTTTGATATTGATGACAGTGAAATCACTTAACCATATTGCAGAAGCTCAGGGACTGTACTTGCTTATGTTGGCTTAGATTTAAGCTCACCGACAATGGCCGCTGCCTTGCTGAACCTTATTCCTGCTTTCACTTTTGTGCTTGCTCTCATTTTCAGGTTCTGTTTTTTTTTTTCTTTTTCTAATTTTGTTTTTTGGCATTCATCTCTGCTTGTGATTTTTCAAAAAGAATACAGCTTTCTTTGTGCTTGCCTACGAGAGAGAAAAGGATATCACTGCGTAATTTTTAAGCAGGATTGGGATGCAATATGCCAAAATTGAATAATGCCATAATTTATTTGAAATTTCTGTATTTTTTTCACCAAAATTTTTTTATGGTTAATACTTATAGTTTTGACAATAAAGCTAATAAAATAGACCAAAATAAACTGTTTCACTGTTGCGTTATTATTAAGATCCAGGGATAATTAATTTGCAAGTCTCTATGATTTCACACAATTTTTTATTTTGTCTATATTTTTTTCTTATAGTTTCATATATTTAAAGTCTCTATAATTTTTAACCAAATCTTTATAGTTTCATATATTTTTAATCAAGCCACTATAATTTTTTTTATTAGATCCTTATAGTTTCATCTATTTTTAATCAGGTTTCCATAGTTTTTTTTGGTCATTTTATCAATCACTTGAAATTACAAGAATTTCATTAAAAATCAGGTAAAACTGAAAAACCATAAGGACATGATAAAAACAGAAAAACTCTAGAAACTTGATGGAAAGGGGGAAAACTATGGAGACTTGATTAAAAATTATTAAAATTATAAGAAGTTGCATGTTAGGTTTAAGTTGCAAAATTTGCTCTGAAAGTTTTTGCTCATGAGCAATGTTGGTGGGAAGGTTTTTTTAGGTTTAATGTCACTTCAAAAATTTCAAGATGTAGCAATGTTGCCTTACTCTGCTAAAAAACCAACATTGACCATTAAAGATGGCAATAAAAAACATTAACTGTTAAAAAATTGAAGTTAGTGGTTAGTATTTTTAATGATAACGGATAGCATTGCTCCATTTTAACACTTCAGGGGTGACTTTTAACCCACAAAAACTTCTGAAACAACATTACTCTTGAGTGAAAACTTTGAAAATAAATTTGCATTTTAATCCTTCTTAATATTTTCATTCATTTTGATGATGCCTTAATTATTATGATTTAGAACCAGTGGAAAGGGATGTAAATGACAAGAAAGGATGGGAACGGGTTTCATTGCTCTTCACCCTAAACGATGGCCACAAATATGGTGGTCATTATCTAATTTTGGCGATATAAACTACGCCTGAATCGTGTTGATCTCACTGCAGCAATGAATAATATAATTTGCAAGTCTCTACGATTTCACATAATTTTTAATTTTGTCTTTATATTTTTTTCAACAAGTCCTTATAGTTTCATCTATTTTTAATTGAGTTCTTATAATTTTTTTATGAGATCTTTATACTTTCATCTATTTTTAATCAAGTTCCTATAGTTTTTTTTTGTCTCTTTATCAATCACTTGAAACTATAGGAATTTGAATAAAAGTTAGGGATTTGATAAAATAGAAAAAATATAAAGAATTGATTAAAAATTAGTTAAAACTATAAGAAGTTGTATATTAATTATGCCATAAAATTATGAAGAACTTGAATTATTAATATGGTTAATATGCAAATTTGTGCTAGAAGTTCTTTCTTTGTCTTGGAAGTTTTTTGGGTTCAATGTCACCTTAAAAGTTTAAAATATAGCAATGTTGTCCCATTTTGTTAAAGAATCAACATTGACTGTTGAAAAATTGATGTTGATTGTTAACATTTTTAATGGTAAGAGGTAACATTCCTCTATTTTAACACTTCTGGGATGACCTTGAACCCAAAAAACATCCGAGACAACATTGCAAAAACTTTCAAAATAAATTTACACCTTAACCCTTCTTAATATTATCATTCATTTTGACGATGCCTTAATTATGATTTAGACCCAATGCATTTCTTAGAAATGGAAATGGATGTACATAGCAGGATAGAATGGGAAAGGGTTTCATTACTCTTCACTCTAAATGATAACCACAAATATGGTTGTCATCATTGCAATAATGAGTACTATAATACTTATCACTGCAAGTACCAAAACTAGACTCAAAAGGGGCAACGTAATTTAAAAAAAAAAGGTTGTGAATATTAATAAGATTATGTTATATATATTTTTGGTTGAAGATATGAAACATTTTTCTATATGTATCCTATGTTCTAAAGTAATTTGTAGTGCATCAATCACTTTAAAATATTTTTTCATGTACGTTTAGCACCTTAAAGTATTTTTTAGTACAATTTTACATTTAACAATTTAAAGTGCAAGATGCACTAAAAAATAATTTAAGGTGCTAAACATACTTGAAAAAATATTTCAGGGTTTAGATCAAAAATATAATTTGGGGTGCTAAATACACTTGAAAAAATATTTTAGGGTGCTTGATGCACTATAAAATACTTTATGAGACTAAATGCACATGAAAAAAATAATTCAGGATGCTAGATGTACCTTCATCCTATATTTTTTTCCATCATTTGTCATTTGTGTTAGTAAATGGCACAATGATTTTTTTTGTACCATACACTTAGTGATGTAATTATAGCATGTGAATTGAACTTGTACTGCCTCAATTTTAATTGTTCAGGATGGAAATAGTACATTTCGGAGAAAAGAGCAGCCAAGCCAAAGTGTTAGGAACAATAGTATCAATTGGTGGAGCATTTGTTGTGATATTCTACAAGGGCCCACCAATCTTCAAGAATCATTCTTCAGCATCTTCTTATAAGCAGGTTTTGTCGTTAACACAATCCAACTGGGTCCTTGGAGGCTTTTATTTAGCTACTGAATCTTTCATTGCTTCACTTTGGTACATTTACCAGGTTATGTTCATTTTCCTTTGAAACTGTAACCAAAAATAGTGTATTGTGTAGTGTATAAGTAGGGAAAATTGATTTTTGCTTCTCTTTTGCAAAATGTTTCAGGCATCAGTCATTAAGAGCTACCCTTCTGTAATGGTGGTAGTCTTCTTCCAAATTCTCTTCTCAACAATTCTGTCAGCAATATTTGCCATAATTGTAGTTGCAGATCTATCAGCATGGGTCTTAAGACTTGACATGGGCTTGGTTTGCATTATCTACCAGGTAGCATCCTTTGCTAAGAATACTCATGAAAATTTTTCTAACTTCCATCTACGATCTCAATATTATAAACAATATCGATAGCGCCATTCAAAATTACATGCTTGAGGGCTATGGGCCAATCTTTTCTAACTTGACCAACATTAGTTGGTTTTCTCATAGAAATTCATTTATACTTGGTGAGCACTTAATGGAAAGGAAATGGAAGGAAAAGGGATTAAGGGAAAGTATTTTTGACTGTTTTTGGCATAGATTTCTTTTTGTTTTTTGCTTTTCTTTTTTGAATTAAAGAGGTAGATGCTCGAGGTTACAAGCATGACTAAACCTATGACCTTCTACTTACAAGGGAGCTCTAATTCCACTAAGCTACAGGGCTGGCTATGTTTGGTACAAATGACAAGTGGATTTCTTAAAAAAAGAAAAAAGAAAAAAAGAGATTTCCACATTTAATTAGAGAGAGCTTTCTCAGCTTGCAGATTTGGTTGGCGAGTCCTTCAAGGTGTAATATAAGAATGAGTTTAGGTGCTCATCAGCATATATGATGAGCTTGGAGCGCTTTTCACTTTGATGAGTATCAAAACTGGTTTCATGTAACATAGGGATACTTAGTTCAAATGCTGGTATGAGAAGAAACATAAGATGAGGAGAGAGGTTTCTGATTACAGACCCTTAGTACTCCGCAGTGCTTTTGATAGGAAATATCAATTTATTCAATAATATACCTCCACTTCACTTTAGAGTTCATATGGTTGTTTGAAAACTTACTTGGTAGGTAGGAAAGTTAGGTGATGGAAATTAAAAGAAACTGCAATTATGAAGGTAGCTAGAAAATAAAACTTGAGTGTTTTTAGTTATTCATAATGCTAACTTGTAGTTCATCACATAGGCAGTGGTTGCCGTAGTGATTCGCTTCATTCTATACACATGGAGTGTGAAGAAAGCTGGACCTCTGTTTTGTACAATGTTCAAGCCTGTAGGAATCATTTTCACTGTTATCATGGGTGCACTTTTTCTGGGGGATGATTTTCACCTTGGAAGGTAACATTTGAATACCAGATATTATCTACTATCTTACACACACACATATACTCCCTTCAGTCTTATTTATAAGATTTTATTTATTGGTCCTACCAAATTTAATAAAACATTCATTTCTATGTGCATGTGTATGTATATGTGCTCTCTTTGGTTGTTTTTGTAAGATCTTATTTATTGGTTCTTAATACAAGACCTTTTACAAAAATTAATAAAACATTCATTGCACATTTTCAAAAATACCCTTATCTCTTTCACTCTTGCTTTCCCATCCTCCCTATCTTTCTTCTCCCAATAAACTATACCAATCAAAAAGATTGTTTTAGGAAGTTGTCAAAATTTCTGATATTCAGGTACTTTTTGCTTATTTTTTTAATCTCATGAAAATTGTTAATAATGTTCAGTTTTTGATTAGTTGTGTTATTGACAGCAAAAGATCTTGAATGAATGTCCTGCAGTTTGGTGGGCGCGGTTATAATTGTGTTGGGATTTTATGCTGTGATTTGGGGCAAAGCTAAAGAAGAGAGGAAGGCTGAAGCAAGGTTTGAAAACCTGGAGTCATCTTGCCATACTGCTCCTCTGCTGCAAAACAAGACTTAACAGATATTGAAATGTGGGATGGGGATCATTTGAAGACGCTTATGAAGTGTCCTCCAAGTTAGAGGGAGATTAAAAAAGAAACTCTCTCTCTCTCTCTCTCTCTCTCTCTATATATATATATATATATAAATGGAATGGCAGGCACAAAAGATGCTATCTTGTTCAGCAGACAATTTTGGAAGATCTGCAAGTCGCTGATGGTATGAAGTCACGTTCTCTTTTCACAAAGAGAATGGGGCTATGCTTAGGAATGAAATCAACTAATTTGATGTACTTCTGAAATCTTGTAAATAATAATTGATTTGGGGATGATATTATATAAATGGTTGCTCATAAACTGTAAATGTTAGCTCCAGATCTTATTCGCAGACAGCCTTGATGGCAATAAGAACAGTGCAAGAACTACTGTTGATTGTTGATGAATCATGTAAAAATATTTGAACCAAAATAGTTAATCAACGAGTTGATTTTCAGTTGTAATCATGTGCTTAATTATGCAAGCTTGAGCAAATACCATTACTTGTTAATTTATTAGTTTCACAAGGTACCCTTTATTTTTTTGGTTATCCCAATTAAATAACTTCATATGAAAGTATAATCCAGAATTTTTCATGGGCGTGATTCACTTGCAGCAACTCAAGCACTGTGCTGTGGCCACTGATTATGTTATGTTAACTCTGCTTCAAAATGTTTAGCAATCTCGGTTATAAATTTCTCTTAATTCAATTTATGAGAACATCAAGAGAATAAATAATTCTCAGATATATGCCAATACTCTTTATATTCTCAAACTCAAATTGATCAATAGTAGAATCATGACTAACAAAAGAGAACAACTGATAGATATGGCAACAGAAAAGCATAGCACAAGGCTATGGCATTCTTGGATCATGCAAATTGAAACTAAACCAGAACAGTAGAAATCATCGAAGTTTTATATGATATATTGACTGATTGATGGGAAATGATACTGTTAAAAGTATCTTTCATTATTTAAACATGTAATCTGATATATGATTATGATTGGCACTTGAGATTCATTTCAGAGCTTTCTCTATTTTGCCTTCTGAATATAGTCATCAACCTCCTGGAAGTTCTTGGCTGCAAAATCCTTAATGACATGTGGGTCAGCGATCTCTTCACTTGCCTTCTCATACTCAGATGACCACTTCACAAGGCTGCCTTCTCCCTTTGGTGTCACACTGATGTGTCCCTTGAAGTGCTTGAAGTATTTGAGGAGGTCACCATCAATGACACTGTATGTCACTGTCTTCTTTGCATCATCAAGTGCTTCAATCTTCTCCTTTGATTCCTTCACTATAGGAGAACCTACAAAGTAAACCTCTCATGTGAGGGCATTAATTAAATCTTCAAATATTGAGAAACAGGCATTACTACCAATAATAACTGAGTTCATCGCAAGGAGTTCAAGATCCCTTAAAATTACCTCGTAAGAAGATTGACGTAAAATGAGGACTATCAAATTGTAAAATATGAAGTTTTAATTGCGCACATGTCCTCGTTTTACACCAAATTCCTTACAAGGTTATTAATTTTCATTCTCTCTAAGGAAAAATCATACTAGAAAAGCTACCTTATTTGGATAGGATGATACTTAAATATGGATTCAGATACCAGATAGCTATGTAAATAATAGGTACAACTAAGTATGGTTAGATTGAATAAAATGGATTTAATATTCCTTAAACAAAGTCATTGGTTCTAACTATGCTGAAAGAACTATCTCCCATCTGAGTCCAGCAATACCCGTATACGTATTAATTGGTAACATCGGAAATCAGAGTCATTCCTAGATGATCATTGGGTTTGACCGTTTGAGTGATTGTGTGAAGAAACAATGTACCCCAGTTGGATCAATACTCAAATCGATAGTATCAAATACCGAATAATTATTATTTGAGCGATGTGGATTCAATATCCATTGAGCAAAGTTGTGGCTTCTAAACATGTTAAAAGAGCCATCTCCCATCTGGGTCCAGTAATACTCAAATATGTATTAGTCGGTAACATCATATATCATAGTCACGCCCAAAAAAAAGAAAAAAAGATCAAAAGTAAGGATTAAAATATAAATTTACCTCAGAAGTTTTCACTCAGGAGTACTGGTCATCTGGAAGTTTTTTTAGGATGCAAATTTGTTTCAGAAGTTTAAAATCAAAGTAATGTTATTTCTACTATTAAAAATATTAACAGTTAGTGACACTAGTTTAATAGTGAACATTGGTTTTTCAATTGTAGGGAGTAATATTATGATTTTAAAATTCCAAGAGAAATTTGCTCTCAAAAAAACTTTCTAGCATCCAATATTCTTGAGTAAAAACTGATAAATTTGCATATTAACTCTAAAAGGCAATAGATGATTGTCGGGTTTGGGTTAATTGTATGAAGGAAGAATGCATATAAGTACCTTCACCATAAAAAATGTGGCGCACAGAACCAGGGGCTTTGCCATCACCCTCAATAACTTCAATGCTCTTATAGTCATGTGAAAGTGCCTTAGGGAAAATGGAGGAGGAATCCCTAAGGGTTTGCCAGAACTTGTCTGCATTAGACTTCACCTCTACTTCTACCTCAATCTTTCCAGTGGCAGCCATGGCTTAACACCGAAACTGAATATGGAATATAATAATGTGAGAGTGGAGAACTTGGGGAAGAAGAAGAATGCCAAGTAAGTTTATATAAAGATAAGATCATCTGGTTCAGGACTAACAGGTGTAAATGAATTAGGAACTAACCCAACCACCACTTTATGAAACGGCATCAGAGCTTTCAAGGAGAAGTACTCACTCACATGACTCAATATGAATGTTGGACCCACTTAGACTTTAGTTTTGAAAGCTATGGTTCTGGAAACCAGGTTAGTTTTGTTAGTTCATTAAACTAGGTTGTTAATTAATTAGGGTTAATACTATTGTTAGTCCTCATAGTTCGATCAAATATTGATTTTGATCCCTATTCAAATCGTTGGTTTTAATCTCTATAGTTTTGTAATTTTTTAATGAGTTTTGTGAATAGTCTTTATAATTTTAACAGGTTTTGATTTTAATTTCTATACTTAAATTAAGACCAGGTTCTTATAAAACTATGAGGACTAGAGCCAATGATTTGAAATTATAGGGACCAAAGCCAAAATTAGATCAAGTTGTAAGAATCAATAATGATATTAAGCAAATTAATTAATAAATTGCCGAATTAAAAAAGTTTGAGTGATATTAATCAACCTGACTTGTTTCAAAATTTAGTGCAACTAATTAATTGGATCAAATAATTAGGCCAAAATTTATTGGATCAATTTGAACCTATAAATTAAATGTAGAACCAAAATGCCGGTGATGCATTGCCAAAAAAACAAAAATGTCGGTGATGCTGATGATAATGATAATGAGTCTGTAAAGTTTGTTGGCTGTTAAACTTCGAAAGGATTGAGGCCCATGACGGCAAAAACTTATGGGAATGATCTCCATACTTTTTTCATATGTATGTCTCCATACTTTGGTCATTTATTTGACTTAATTGTTATTAATTTATTAACAGCCAACAAACTTTACAGACTCATTATTAAAAGATATATTGATATTGATCATCCTCTAGTAGTGGTTTATATATGTATCTAAATCCGTTGTTCTTTACTTCACTAAGCTAACAGAACAGGCCTCGCTTGGTTCGGCCATTCCAAAAACAAAACCAACAAACACATGCAACACCACAGCTTACACCATCAAGACTGTATCTACGTGCCTGTTTGGGAAAGCAGTGAAAATTCCCTATAAACACGTTTGACGTAAGTCGAGACAGAACTCTTTTCATATACTTGCTTTGTATTCCGTAAATTACTATTAAAAAATTATTTATAAGCTACTTATAAACTATTCCAAATGGGTCTTATAACCCCCTACCATTATATTTATCTGTACGTTTGGATGCTCAATAAATGCAACAGATAAAAGAAAGAAAGGTAGGACGATGTTAGAAGGCTCATTTAAGTCTATAATCAGGGTTGCATGGAGGTGATCCAGCTCTCCCTCTCTTCTTTGCTCTTCCTCTTCCTCTTCCTCTGTCTCACTCTCACCTCTCTTTGTTTCTAAATGAAAATGAAGAGGAGAGAAGTTTTCAAATGGTTAATAAGCGGAGAAGCACGTGTGGCTGTGTGCGATCTCCTTGTACCCTTTTGCCACTTCATTTCTTTTCTAGTTTTCCACTTAATCCCTTTTTGATAAATGCTAATTTCCCAATCCACTTTATCTCTTATATTATTTATTTTTTTATAATGTAGTCCTTGTAATAATTACACATGTTAAATATTTCATCTAATGGGTATTTTAGAAAAGACAACACATATTTATTACAAATAACTAACTTATCTAATTTTCTTAATCTACTCAAATTAGTTAATTAGCTCTTATAATAAGAACTAGATGTAGTATTTTGAAGCATCAGATAATTCTTAGAAATTAATCCTTAATATGTTACGTGGATTTTCTTCCCCAATCAGCTTCTTTAGCCTATAAAATAATTTTTCTGAAATTTTTGAGTCAAAAGTTAACTTCTAGCTATTTTTCTTGAATTTTCCATAAAAATAGGCTCCTTTGATTCCTGAAATTAGTTTAAAATTATAAGTCATTTTTGGACAAACAATCCTTTTTATAAATTTTCTAAATACTCAAAATAATATTTCATAATTTTTCTTAAACTTTTTAAGGCGTTTAATAATTTTAATAATTATTGTTTTAATTTCTAACCCAAATTAAGCTTTTTGGTATTAAAAATATTTTTGATGCCCTCATTTTTAAAATAATTCCTTCAAACCTCATAAATACTTGTTGACCAATTCTTAAAAATCATAAAATTTGGGATGTTATGATTCTTTGACATATTTAACTTGTTTCTTAGGAGCATCTGTACAAGTATTATTGGAATAAAAAAACTAATTTTTTGGTTTTTGACTAACTTTATACTACCTCTTTTTCTTAATATAAGAGCTAATTTAATTTTTAATTTAGCTTTAAATATAAGACTCTAATATATTTTATCCTTCATAGTTATCTATTTTTTTAAAGTAGCCCCTGTAATAGTTTAGATGGTAATGTTCCACCAAATGGTAGTTTTAGCTAATACATATGATTAGCAAAGATATTTTAATAAAGACAATATGTATTTGTTACAAATAATAAATTTAACTAATTTTTTTAATTTCTCTAGATTAGTCAACTAAGTCTTGTACTATGATTTGAGCTTCCAGAAGAAGTTACATAACCACTTTTATTGTTAAAAAACTTCAGGGATGGTACTCCTCTTCCTGATGCTACTAGATATTAATTAATTATCTGTTTTATATTATTAGCACTATCAGACTTTTTATTTTAGTGTTAGTTTCTTACATAGTTGTCTTCAATAATAGAACTCGGTGTTGTAACCCCAAAAAAAAAAAAAAAAGAACTCGGTGGATTTTATTATTAATTCTTTTGGTTATAAGGTTCGTTTTTAATTATGTAATGTGATAATTGGATGATTAATTATTTGGAAGTTCAGGTGTTAAGGGATACTCTACCAAAATTTATATAGTATTCCTTAACTTAAATTTTTGTGTCTCCTCATCTAGGTACATAAATAGATTGAATAAATGCTACTAGAAGTACAAGTGACCAATATGATAATGGAGTGAAGTAGTTTTTAGAATTTGCTTACAGAAATGCTCTTAAGAGTAGTGACCATTTTTGCCCTCATGTAAATTGTCTTTGAATGAGGGGTAAGTAAGTATTGAGAAAATAAGAGAGCATCTAATTTGTAATAAGATCCGTAAAAATTATACGTGATAGATATCACATGATGAAGAATCAAAAAGGTCAAGTGCATTCCAACAAGGACAGGTTGATCATGATAGTGAGAACACAGGTCACCGGTTAAAAGACATCATCTTCAACAAGAAGTCTAGACATGCTTGGATGCTGGAAAAAATTTTCTTTTTTGGATGAGAAGTTACATACAGCTAGAAGTGATAAAAGGAAATCGAAACAAACCTAGCAAACTTAAAAGATTAAAACGGGAACAATCTTCTTTTTAGGGTGTGTTTGGATGACTTCAAACCGTGGTTTGGAAAAGTGATTCTGGAGAATAGATTCTGTGGAGAATAGATTCTGAGAAAAAGTGATTCTGAGAAGTGAGAATGTTTGGATAGTTATTACCAGAAGTGCTTTTTACATGTGGAAATTACCAAAAAGGGTATAAGTTAATATGATAATTATATAAGGGATAGATTTTATGATTTATTTTGATTTGAAGAAATAAAATTGTTAATGAAATAATTTTTACTAACATAATTAATAATATATAAGATAATATAATTAATACATAATTAATATGTGTACATATATTTATAAAACATAATATTAAATATGTTTATAGAAAAATGATTTTTTTTATAACAGAAAAATATTAATTTTGTTTAAAGATTGTAAACGTGAAATCCCATAACATTTTTTCACAACTACTTTTTGTAATAACATACTACATGTATAATAACCTCTGATGTTTAATACAATTAATTAATTAATTGTCACCACACATATATATTCATAAAATATAAGAGTGAAAAATATTTTTAGAGAAGATGAATTATTTTGTTGCAAACAGAAAGTCATGTATTTTTCATGAAGATTATAAACATAAAATGGGATGATATTGTTTGATAAAATAGAATAAACACGTCTTAAAATAATTTATTAATTATTCAAGTAAGTAATAATTAGCTTGAGAATATAAGGCATAATATTAATAAGAGAAATATAAATAAAGAAGTGTCATAATCATTAAGATGATGCATCGATACAAAGCATTTGTAATAGGTTTTGTTTTTAACTACATATTACAATCTATGATAAAAGGAAATAAATAAGACATGACTACTATCCTCGTATTGAATTAACAAGTTCGTCTCTTATGCTGTCACGAACCTGAGCCATGTAAGATGAAGATTGAATTGATGAATGTATACGTGAAAATCTAACCCCATCATCATCATCTTCTGCATAAGTACCTTCTTCTTCCAACTGAACGAATCCAGGATCAGTAATAGATGTCGTTCTAATAAAATTATGTATAGCCATCGTTGCACAAACGATTTTAACTTGTGTTTCAAAATCATAAGATGGCATGTTTTGTAAGATTGCGAACTTTTTTTTCCAAACTCCGAAAGTTCTTTCAATTGTACTCCTTAAACTTGAATGGAAATAATTAAAGATCTCATTGTCATTTTCAAACCCAGATGTCCTTCGAAAATCAGGCAAATGGTAACGCTCCCGTCTGTATGGGCCGAGATATCCATTCGGTGTTGGGTATCCAGCATCCACCAAATAATATTTTCCTATATAAAAAATGAAATTATTGTAAATTATGTTTCTATTGTTAAGCTAAATATAAAAAAAAATATAGGAAATAAAAAAATACCTTCAGGTGGATGGGGAAAGTTCATTGAAGGAGTTGTGAGGGCATGATCAAATATCCGAGCATCATGTGCGCTACCTTCCCATCCGGCCAAGACAAAAGTAAAACACATGTCCCAATCACAAACCGCCATGACATTTTGTGACACTGTTCCTTTCCTAGAGATAAATTTAGTTTGATCTGTTGCACTGACAACGC